TTGAAGGAGCCCTCACTGCAAGAGTCGCTGTGGATAAAGAGACCGGAGCTTCAAAGAGGTGGGGGGCATCAAGTTGGTCATTCACTGTGGCAAAAGTATAAAGATGTCACCTGCTCTTCAAGTCTCCTTTACAACGTCTGCTTCATTTTTCTCAGGTTCGGTTTTGTGGAGTTTGAGAGTGAAGAAAAATGCAAAGAAGCCATGCAGGACTGTGAGATCGATGGCAGCAAAGTGACTGTGGCTTACGCTAAACAACAGGAAAAGAAAGGCACCAAAGGTCGGGGGGCCAGCAGAGGAGGTAACTGGTTTATCAAGGAGATGGCAGTAAATTAGGTTCCTTATTGTTACATTGACATTTTTCAGGAAAGTCAATCAACTTTTAAATTAAAATTTAAAAGACAATCAACAAGAAATATGATAAAATGTGTGTTAAATCCGCCGACACACAAAATCATGTAATAGTAGTGTAAGTAGCATGACAGCAAATTCAACACATATCACGACAATATACAAACTGTATATAAAGATGGAAAACACGTCTCCTCTTCCTCCCACTGTCTAGAAAATAAGCTAAAATATCCGACATACCATTGCAGTGTCAGAAATCTCTCACTAATCACTATGTAGTCCATTATTTGGTGGGTTCGCCATTTTGCAGAGCTCTCCCAATGTTAAGTGACATTTGTTATACCCTACACAGTGGAGTCATTGTTTCCCACAATATATCTTAAAAAGTAGCGTACAACCAATGGTCACTAACCGAGCAATATATACCATCATGCATTGTGCTTGCAGTGGAGGGAGTGCAACAGAAACAGCCCGACCTGTCATACAAATGTAAATGAGAGCAGAGCATCAAACAAGTTCATTTCAACATTTAAATATGTTAAATGTGTGTTAATATTGATACTAAGTGTAAAATAAACACTTAAAATGTATCATTCTTTTTTCATTTTCCATTGGCCGATGTCCGAAATGTTTTTTCTTTTGCGGATGAACTAACTATATACTCCTCTACGTAGAATTCACTATTGTGAAGTAGGGGTTCGTGAATGAGTGGGTGATTTCAGATACAGCCTCAGACTTTATCGTTAGTGTTTAAACACGGTTATTGTCTCTGCTGGTTGACTTGAATTTAGATGAGTTTTGTGCCAAAGTCATTTTTTTTTCTATTTATTTTTTTGCAGGAAGAGGACGTGGAGCCGGGGCGCCACAGGACACTGTCGAGAAAGTGAAAAATAAAGGCTAACTTTATACAAGACTTTGACTTTGGGTGGCTGTACAGACAGTGTGTGAGGATGTGAACATGTGTACAATATTGTTTGTCCTGACTGTAGAACATGTGGCATCGTGTTATTTTTATTGTCATATTTTCTATTCATTCATAGCTAATATGAAGACATAAGAAAGATGCCTGACTTGTTTTAACATAATGCAGGTTTGTTATGTGAAATGTTGAAGATTGGATCAGCTTGTAATCATTCTATGTGAAGATAAAGATTTTTTAAATGTGATCCGTTGTCCGTGTTTTTATTGAAACTATAGTGTGATAAAGAGGGTGACTGCAGGACTCTGTTGTCATTCACCTGGAATAACACCAGACCCACAGTTAAAACAGGGTCGCTCATTCTGTAATAACCCAACACTGAACTATTACTTGGACAGAAGTGAGAGGTAGACGGATTCCTCCACATTGCACAGTTGGATCCTGCAGCTCTGCACATGTCGCAGCAGGGTCCCCACTTTGTTGCTAAGTGCTCAGATTGAGCCCAGACGCTCTTTGCGTGTGTGTGTGTGCGTGTGTGTGCGTGCGTGTTTGTGTGTCCTCTAATGACCTCACATCCTGTTTTCCCACTTCCTTCACAGCGGACCGGTTTGGGACGGTCCGAGCGCAGCGTGGAGGGTCCGCAGTGTGCAGTGTAGGCACGTTTCTCCACACACGTCAGCTGAAGACATCCTCACAAACTTTAACACAACGGGCTGACCATGCACCGTGTCACTGACTGACCGAGGAGAGGAGAAGCGTCGGTAGGTTGATTTATAAGCGAAGATTTGGGCTCATTTGCGCGGTGTTTGTGACGCTTGTGATGTGAAACGGACACGCTCCATCTCTGCAACAGCAACGTGTTAAACTGTGATCCGAGTTTGAATCACGTTGGGAAAAGTGACAAACTTGAGCTGGAAGTTCACAGTCACTGTGTTTGCACAGGAGTTCGTGCTGAAACACTAGAAACTGATCTTCTCATTTAAAGCACGTTACAACTCGATCAGCAGCGAAGTGGGTTGTTCAGAGTCTATAGAAAGAATCCGCTGTTATATATACTTATGTTTGTATACCTGGAATTTGTTGATACCCCTTTTGTATCTTAATCTGGATTTATTACAATAAACACAAGTCACTGATGGCAGAGTGGATTTTCAGTGGAGGCGCCTTAGTTACACCCTTGGATCACTGTGAGAAAGTTTGCATCAGCTTTGCACATCTGGACTCTGCAGTTTTATTCATGCATGAAAGAGCTGGGCGATGTGGGCGAAAATGATATCAAGATACAAAATCGTTCGTATTGTTAACTATCACATTAAAAGTCACATAATCATGTCTTGATTAAATGTTGCTCCTGACTGAAGGTTCTGGTTTTAAACTCTTATCTGTGAGCTGAGAATGACAACAAATCTGAGCTCCATCAGTTAAAGTTAAAGTTGTTATACCTCTTCAATGTGCTGTATAATGCATAAAAATATATCAATATAAATTGGACTTTTGTTATCTGTTGCTGTGAAACTGTGGCTTTATGTTCTGTGTGTCTGCTCTGCTGGAAAGTAAATCAGCTCTCACGTTTTGATTGGGGTATCGAACCAGGTTTCTCTTTATGTTTTGCCGTGGCCCTCTGGGATCTGGGGGGGATTCACACAGGTTGATGATGCCACCACCAGGGTTCATGTTAGAGATGGTTTTCATGATGACATGAGTTGTTTAATGCTCCAATCAGGTCACAGAGCCTCGATATACTTTTAAATTTGTTTTATTAAATGTGATTTGTTATCATGTGATCCTGTATGTCATTGTCTTATGTTTGTACCAAACCGTGATCGAGCAGTGTGTGGGTGGACTGGTCAGAGAGACAAACATTAGTCAAACATTACTGTAGGTGTGACTGTTATTGAACATGTGTGCATAGTGCAAAGGTTTCCATGTATCTTTGCTTAACACCACAACAATGTATCCTCAATGTATCTGCAGAGTGACAGGTTAGTGTGGAATGAAGTTCAGATTGTTGAAATGCTGCAGGTCCGTTGTGTTGAACTGTAAAAAAAAAAAAAGGAAGCTGTTGCAGTTTGTTCAGGTTGTTACAGGGAGTCCTTCATGCTTTTATTACCCCTCAGTTAGATTGTTGTTACTCCCTGTCTGCAGGTGGAGAACTGTTTCCTCTTCGTCGTCTCCAGTTTGTACAAAGTGCAGCAGCTCGTCTTCTAACTGGACAAAGAAACACCAGTACTGGCCTCTCTCCGCTGGCTTCCTGTCAAATTCCGGATTGATTTTAAGATTTTAAATCGTCTGGCAGTGACACCACTTTATTTAGCTGAACTGTTGCACCTTCATACTCCATCCAGAGCACTGAGGTAGAGCCAACCACCTGATGCGTCTGGATGTCCTGAGATCTATAGGCTCATCAATAGAGGTGACTGGGCCTTTGAAGTGGCTGCTCCTAATCTCTGGAACAGTTTATCTTTTCATGTCAGAACTAGAAACATTTAAATCATTGCTAAACACCCACTTCCTCTCACTGGCTTTCCATTCCAGCTGAGTTTTCATTTAATCTGCTACTGTGCAACGTTTGAATTCTCTTATAGTAACGATGTTTAACATTTGATTGCTTTTTGTATTTTCTGTTCACTCAGTTTTGATTACATGTATTTTTATATTTTTCTACTGACACATTTTAAGCCTGTTCAGTACGTTGGTCAACTGTGGTTGTTTTAAATGTGCTGTATAAATAATCTTTGAGAGTTGTATGTCCCAGACGCACTGTGAAAAGTTAACAAACCATTCACCTCTTTTCCTGTCAGGGTGTTCATTTGCTTTAAAAGCTTTGAAACATTGTCTTTTCTGACCAGAGTCAATGACGTCTGAAACATCATTTGGAAACAAAGTGACTAAAAGGTTTTGTCCTTGACTTTCTTTTGCAGTCGTTGCTCTTGTGACAGAATGAAGACGAGAGAGGTGAAGATCATAAACAAGGGTCTGGAGGATGAGATGGTAAATATCACTTCCCATCTTGAAGCTGCAGTTTCACTTAACCAATTTAGATTTTGTGTTGAGAAATGTATCGTCTCTGTGTTTTGTTTTTTCTCCTTAAATAATCTTCAAATTCCTAGCTTGTGTAGTAACAGTGTGCTGATAGGTTTTAGTTTTTTGTGATCACATGATTGGGATGATTAGGACTTGTGTAGTACAGTGCGTTGCTTTTTAAAGACTTAAGTCGTGTGTACATGTGTCAGAGTGGAATTAGAGAATGTCGCATTCAATTTTATTCCAAATCTTTCTATTCACACATACTGAAATTACCCACAATCATTTGGAGAATTTAGAAATTTCACGGGTGGTAACATGGACCACAGATTGTTTTATATTCCCGGGGGATAGAGTTTGACATTTTAGGAAATATGATTATTCATTATGATGCTAAGTTTAATCTGTCTGGTGAAAATGAAGTTACACAGAGTTACTTCACTGAAAGACAAAAAAAAACCCAATTATGGTTGTGTTGTGTTGTGTTGGAAGGGAATAAAATCCGCCTGCCAGCACCACAACGAACCGTCTGCCAGTTGATTCAACAGACGGATATTGTCTGTCTACCCACATCTACCACAGAGCTCTATTGTCGTCCAACGATTCAAAACACATCATAGAGCGTTTGGTTCTTCTTTCAGAGTGGAGTGTGCATGTTCTCTCTGTGTCTGTGTGAATGTGAGTGTGAATGATTGTTTGTGTCTGTGTGTTGGCCTTGTGTTATGCTGGCGACCTGTCCAGGGTGTACCCTGCCTCTCGCCCAATGTCAGCTGGGATTGGCGTCAGCTCCCCCCGCAAATCTCAAAAGGATAAGCGGTACAGATAGCATGCATGGATGGATGGGTGGAAGGATCATTAAGCTTTAAAAATTAGTGTGGGCCACCCTGCTGCTGTAAAACTCATCATATCTGTGTTAATCCACAGCTGAAAATAGTCCCTATCAAATGCACCATTAACTCCTGTTCTCTAAAATCTACTGAGGCAGAAACATTGTCAGCGTCACATCCAGTTTATTTACTGTGTATTACCAACTGTCTCTGCCTCCTCCAGCAAACAGCTCAGCAGTCTGTATGTCCCAGCCCTCAGTCTATTTACATCAGTGCTTCCCTGTGCAGGAGGTGTGGGGGTACCGGCCCTGTCTGTGGAAGACCATCCTGGTGGGTGTGGGTGTTGTCTGCTCCGGCGGTCTCCTCCTGCTGCTGCTCTATTGGCTGCCTGAATGGGGCGTCAAGAGCACCTGCACACACACCTCGCTGAGGGAAGCACACACGCTGCTGCTCAGGACCACAGTACTTGCTTTCTTTCTTTTTTCTCACTCTTACTTCTTATATGTCGAGCATGCATGGACACATACGGACAGTTGCTGTTAAAACACATTTTAATCAGATTTAATGACACCGGGTTGGCACACACACTGTGACCACCACTCATGATGAATAGTAGTGTGCAGCCTCACAGCCGAGGAAGAGAGTCATGCTTTGTATTGTTACCACAGGATGAGTTCAGGCAGTGGTTTCGAGCCAAAGCACACGTGATGCTAGCTCCGTGGAAGAAACCCTTCGACATCTTGGATTTGTCCGTGATGGCTCAGCTGCCGAACGGGGACCACAGCGAGGAGCATTGTGGGAAATTTGCTCAAGGGCAGTCTGCTCAGGTATTTCAGTGGAAACTGTCTGCCACTCCTACACATTACATGCATCTGCTTAATATAGATTACAGACATGAGAAGTTCTAAGTCTAGATCTGTGATTGGAGTTCTGATGTGTAAAGTTGTTAAACAGTCGATATCTGACCTCCTCTTCCTCCTCTTCAGATCCACTTCTTCACCCACCACAGCACTAAATACTACTGGGATGATGAGATGCAGAATTTTGAGTCGTATAAGTAAGACTCCTGTCGTTTTCTGCTTCCACTGTCTGAAACACCAACATTTAATATAACCTTTGTTTCTTTTAATGTTACCAGAAAATGAACCTCCATCATAAATCACAATCAGTGACATGAATGTGTGTGTGACTTTTCTAGAGGCTTGGAAGATGTGAAGGTGAGCTGTGCAGAAATCCACTCTGAACACAGCTCTGGACTCTGTACAGCCCTGCAGGACTACAGGTTCAACACACACACACACACATACATACACCATGTTTTCCTTATTTTGTGCTTTATGGTACATTTATATACTTATTGCCTTAAAGTAACTGTGGGGAAAATGTCATGTTATAC